AAGAGATTTATGTTATATCGGTATATTATTTGCGCAATGACTACTGGGTTCCTTTGTAAGGAAAATGCCTTATTCGATCTGTGCTATATCTTACAACTTAATAATGTGTACTTATTTCAGTATGAATTTATAATACATATCCAAGTTTGCACTTATTTTTACAAAACTGATATACATTATAAATTTATACCGCAATATTTTTAAGCACTATCTAGTTCAAACTGAATAAAGCATTTTCCATAATATTTGAACTTTTTGCAAAATTTTGTCAATCCATAGACAATACTCTTTTATACAAATTTATATTTTTAGTATTTAAATAAAATGCAATTCAATAATTTCATTTAAAAACTTACATGTTTATGCTTTTAGCATGAAGATAACGACATGTATTATTTAAATGGTCACATTATTTCAATGACTTTACAATTTTAAAACACGTTTTTGTTTCAATAGAAAATATGTATCTCTATATGTATCGAAAAGCATGTGCCGCCACTTTGTTGAATTGTTATTGATAAAGCAAATATTGATAATGATAACATGAAATTCCAATATCTATCTCGATAATGAGTTAATCGCAAGACTAAATGAAATATCATAGTCGACAGATCGTGGCGTAATCGAATACGAGGCGTACGTGCTGCGCAACGCAAAGTTATATCACACGTCTAAATTAGAGCTAGCAGCGCAATCATTCATGCGTGTCAGTAGCGCCGCGGAACGAAATTCCACCACGTTGCGTCCTGGTCAAGTAATTTAATAATAATTATTCCCTTACAGGAGACGGCCGCAAAACGTGGCCCATTGCCACTGTCGGCCGACTCATAAATCACCAGCTAACGCCTAACACCTAACTTAGTCGCTGATCGTGATTTAATGCCAGTAAAATGCTAACAAGCGTATGAATGAGTCAATGTAAAAGACATCGTTTATGAGGAAGTTTTAAAGCGATGCTGGAGTGACGGCTGAACTTGATCGATGTTGATAGTACAGACTTTTTTTAACTTCAAACTAAAAATGATGATAATAGCGACATCTTTAATTCATTTCTTACATTATCGTTCTATTTCACTCAAACACATACATCTGTCCTTATCTAACATATTACAACGCCATCTCTTGCAAGATCCACTTACTGGTGCTCTTGCAAGAGCACTTACTGCTAGACACAATTACTGCTTTGTTTACTATTCCGAGTCTTCGCTAAACATGCGTATACACGTAATTTGCAAATCAATATAAAGCTTTTTTTTTTAGCTTTTAATCTTCAGTTTCATGAACTCAGTATTGTTTGTTCAGGTAATTCGACGAGTGGTGCACTGTCGTTTTTCCATACGAGCTATAAAACTTTTATATTGAGGAAACACGTCTACGTCAGATGACAATTCCACACACACACACACACACACACACACAAGTTGAAAAATAAGTAAGTTTTCAACTTTTTTTCGATTTTAGTATAAAGTTCACTGCACCACCTCCTAATTTTGCTACTTCTACTTCAAACCTGTAAAAGAATTTCTGATTCCATTCAGATAATTATTCGGAGATTTTTATAGAACTGTAATATCTTGATAATTTGATCACTTCAACTTCTTCTTAAATGGACCAATTAGTCAACATTATTCGCAATATAGCCTCTCTTTCTCTCTTTCGGTTGACTCTATTTAGATAATATCTAGGAATAAATAAAAGGATACAAAAAATCTGATATAAAAAAGATACTTTTAGCAGAGATAGTAGAATTTGTGGATCGTGTTTCAACGCAGACAAACCAAACGGAGGTGATCAAATTCAGATGACGGTTTGTTGCCGTCGGCTATCACGAAAAAATCAGTGGATATTCAACGTCACGGTTTTTGGCCACGAGTTCACCGCAAAGCGCGCAATACTCCTGGCCATGAGTGACGAGACAAAGAAGAATCTCCAGGGGAAACGGTATAAGTTCCAACTTGTGGTGAACGCGATTATATCGATCGTTATTGTATAGGTACAAAGGCATCAGAACGAGCGGAAGCGTGTGAGTGAGTGTGTAATGGGTGTATTATCAAGGTGTACACCGGATGCGTTGATAAATCCGCCGGAGAAATAATAGGGAAGCGCGAATATTCTACCGAGGACAGGGAGATTTCTCTTAATTGAACTGCACGTAAATAACATAATATCGCGCGAACGAGTGTGCCACGTTAATTGGATAGGTAAATTTAATGTTTGCAAAGCTTCAATAATCGCTCTCGCGCGTACCGGACGGACTTTAACTCGATAGAAAGTACGCCGCAATTTTACATCAGAGACCATCTTAATTTCCTTGATTTTAATCGAAGGCGAATAGTCATTCATAGTCCGCGCTAATCGCATTTCATAAATACATCGGGGCCCGCATTCGAGCAATCAATTTTGATACGTAATCTCGATAAGCGAGCGCGTATTATTAGACACCTGTATGTTCTCTCAGTCGAGGTAATAAGGCGTCATCTGATTTTATCCAGCCTTTCTCCTTTATCGTACTATCTGGAGCATATTCCGCAGTCTATTTGCGGACGTAATAATCTAACGTAGTCGTCAACCCGTGAAGCTCGCCCTCTCGCAAACGTGGAAACGAATCGCTCGGCGAGGTCTCTCTGCGTTATTCATTCGACGCCGGGGTAGAGACTCACGCTTGACCGCACCCGTAAATTATTTCCGGCCGAAACGAAGTAGTTGAAATACATACAACTTGCATGAAATCCCATTTTTTCTATCAAATACGTGGACCCGCGCGATCAGCAAATAACTGCTTTTCAAATGTCCCTTTACGATAAGATACGACGCGTGCGGCTGATATCATCTCAATTAGCACCCGTCGTGTCAAAAACGTCGGCGAAGCGATCAAACACGCAAATTAAACGCAAGGGGAAACGATCGTTGATGAGATCTACAAAACGATATGCCACGTTGAGTATAAGATTGCCCACGTCTATCAGTTTGTAGGGCGTAGCTCTAGCCCTTGTATACACCATATACGATGATATAGACGAGATAAAATGTATAAAAGTATATATATATATACATATATATATATATATATGCTAGCATGGCAGAATACGATGACTGCTTGGAGAAAGCACCCGGGGAATCTCTCGGAAACTTTGGAGCGGTCCGTGCGGAAGGCGTTGGGTCAACTGCCACGAATGCACTCTGGACTTTTGGGGTCGCCCCGGCGCATTTTCATTCGAGAACTCGAATTCTCAAAGCAGCATACCGTAAGCGCTGTCAGAGTTTCGTGGCAATAAAGAGAACAGGCGATGAAAAGAGACGCGTCACGCGGGAAGGATGGAAAATAGAGCATATATGTGCTCGGAAAAGAGACGTGCGAAATTGTCCAAAGCTTTCCACCTGTGTGCCGACGGATGCAAAGCATGATTGCCAGCACAGAAAGAATTATTGGTATTATCGACGATCAAAGAAAATCCAGCGTACTCGAATCCGATTTTTTTCTTTTTTTTTTATATTTGCGACTACTCTGCAGACGCAATAAAATGCTGGAATAGATTATTAGACAAGATAGAGATTCGTAATTTTCTCATACACGTGTACGCCCCTCGCGTCAAACAAATGACGAAAAGTAACCATACATCAACCATCCAATATTGTAGACAACTCTCGCCTTAAACGGCTGACACATAAATCTTCGCTTATCCTTTCAACCACGTGTCAGCGTAAGCGGCGCATTTTTCGCACGCGCATAAACCACTCTCCTCCTCGCTGGAATCGAGTGGCGGCAACAATGAGAGATACCAGGATATCGTACCTTCCTCCTCCCTCTCCGCCGCGCGATATAAAAGCAGCTCCCGCGCGTCAGTGGCGATCCACAGATCGTTAAAATCTCGTCTTCTCGACGAGACGAATGCGGTTCGCGGCGCGCCGCGGCGCCGGCGTCTCCGCGCCCGGGGATTATGGATGCGTTCCACTTCCGATAACGCGCGAAACGTGAAGGCGTTTATGCCCTCGCCCTTACGCCCGACTGCTCCCTTTTCCCGACCGTCCCGCCCCCCGCGCGCCACGTTTCGTGCCCGCACACCTCGTCGAAGTTGGCAACAGCATCTGGAGCGTTAAGGGTGGATGAGCGATGTGCCGGTGTCTTGCGGCGTGATGGATCGTCCAATACCAGCCAATATGCAGTATTGCACGTGGAGTGGCAAACTGGTATCCATGCATCAAATCGGCGGGTAGAGAGCGGGTGGGAAGAAGGTATGGTCAGGAGGGAGAAGAGAGAGGGTGGAAGTTTGGTGTGCTCTACACGACACGTTACCGCACACACTACCGTATGCCCGGTCGCTTCCGTCGTGGTCAGAGAACGGTTCTTGCCGATCCATCCTTAGTGGTACGACCATAAGGTGCATCTCCGATTGCATGGGATATATCTATGTACGGCTATGTTACATCTACACATGTACATACGTGTACGTGAAAGTACATACGTATATACATACACATATATACGTATGTATACACACATACAATATATATATACGTATACACGAGATCCGAGATGTCCCAGTAAGAACGGTCAGAATGCCGGTGCTGCGAGCTACGTAGTTGTGCCATGTGTTTGGAACGTCAGGCAACCAGACACGTTTCTCGAGACAATTTCTTGCCGTCTTATTTCATCCGGACGGATACGACCGTGCACCGAATCGTATTCACTTTTCTGTTTAACGGATTGTCCTAAAGGACCAGTTTGATAAACGAGCCGCAAGGAAGAAAGAGAAGACGGATCAAATCAAAACGTAAAATAACAGAATGAGAGTATATAGCTGTTACTGAAAATACGCATTCAAATTAAAAATTAATAAATAATTTCGGATAAATTCAACAATAATTCGATTTCTCTTTCGTGATACTTTCGGTTATTGACTTAAAGCTTTCTACTCAAAAATAATTAGGTCAATCCTCTGTTTAATCCTCAGACAAATTCAATAAAGAACTCGATAAATGTGAGAGAAATATTGACTCACCGAAACGTCAAAGTGGTGAAAGGTCGATAGCTCTTATGACTATTGATGCTCTCCATCGGCGTACCCCAGAAATCGTCGTTGAGCACACTGCTCCACGATGCCTCGCCGATCACGTCCCTGTTCCTCACCACCGCCGGTATATCGTCGTGCACGAAGTCGCAGTCGAGCGCATTGAGATAACAGCCAACCGCAACAAGCGCGACCGCCGCGTAGATGCACCATCCCGGTGGCTCGTTCGCCTCAGTCTCGTTGCATCCGTTACGGCCACCTCTCTTGACCGACGATGCCTGGCAGAAGCAAGTGGAACCGTTGTTCCGTCGTCTCATGTCGCTTGGCGCTGTTCGGTACCACGCACGAGATAAGTTCTCACGTTCGTTCGTCCGCGAGCCCGAAACGCGAGCACTATCATGAAGTCGCTAGCCGTTTTTTCAGGCACCGTTATCTCCTGCGCGATTGACCGCACTGCCCAATATAACTGCACTGATCGCGATCGGAATCAGTTGACTCTCGCATTTCTAAGGCGAACGCTCAGGTGAGAGTTCACTTTCGGAAAGCCTGTACCTGCGTCCTTTCAGCGTTTAAGGATAGCTACTAAGCACCGTTTCAATTACAAACATCGGCATTTCACCTTTGATGTTTGTTTCATCAATAGCTTTACAAGCGGACAAATCGTAAAGGCCGATTGCTTGTATATACCGTTTGACTTTTCAGTTCCTAGTCGAGTCAAAGGGACATGATTCTTGCGTAACGTTGGCGGCAAAGCGACGCGAAATGTCGCGGTGCTAGCCGGTACCTCGCGTTGATCTCTCCCATTTAGGCCGACGACGCTACCTCGACGAGCATTCGTTTGTCCCACGATGAGCTTGACAAATGACTGCAGGAGTTCATTATTTATCGGCCCGACTCGAGCGTGTTCTAGATGAAGGGTGGCAGTAGGTTCCGCGCGTAAACCGCTCACGACTCGGATAATAGCCCTCGCGTGGACTTTCCTCGGGAATTGCCCCCGTGGGGGATCCAAGTAGATCCTTTTTACGTAACCGCGTAACGACGTAACAGCTCGTTACCGCGCTAGCAGCGGGTATTGGATCGATCCGCTTTTCAGCCGCAAATCACTAATCCGCGCTGATCATTACGGATTCTCCCGGCAGAGTAAAACGATATGTCTATAGCACACTTACCGCTCTCGGACGTCAGTGACATTAACGCTATGATTCTATAAATTGCGACTTCGTTCCGGAGCAGGTCATTCATTTGATGCCCATTATCTACCTACTCTACAAACGGATTTTCAATTACGTTGACACGGAACATAGCGTTGGGCATTTCTTCCGACGCTAGATATTTCGTGAGCCCTAACAGTTGGCATAACATTTGCGTAACGTCACGGCAAACAGAACGATAATTGCTTGACGAAAGATAACAATTTATTTTGATCGTCTCATGCCAATGCGGTTCTCGTGCGCTTCAAGAGCGAGAACTCCTATGGTAAGTGATGAGTCTCCATTTTTTTTTGCTGCATCCGGAAAATTTTGTAGAATTATGGAGAACAGGATGCAACGAGAAGACGGCTGTGTGACCCAGATACTCGTAGCCAGGGCTCCTACGTCGCCACAATTTTACTGTGCATATAGATCTATACAAACGGCTCGTATCTCGCCGAGGGCACGGCTTGAAATCCTCCGCGACAGCGCCTTCACCTCCCGTCGACCTCCCGCTTCTCTTGCTACCACTCTCTTATCTCCTTCCCTTGGCGCCACTGCCACTTGGTCGCTTCTTCTTGTTCCCCGTCCTCCTTCGGTTTCACTTCCTGCGTCGTCGAATTCAATCGTTGGACAAGTGTCACGACGATTTTTTTCTTCGATTCCACCGGGCATGCGAGAACTAGAGACGAACTTCCGACGCCTCGACGATCTCACCAGTATGGTTCCCGCTGCTTGCCTTCAACGAGATGTCACTCGAGACAAAAGTCGGGCGTACTCGACGTTCAAGCAGTAGCTAGTAAATGTTTCCTCAATGTTCGTCTTGTTCATTCGCACCAAATCGATCGAGTGACTTCGGACAAAGGAACGAGAAATTTCGCAAGGTAGAAAATTATGGACGATTTTTAATTAGAGGTATTTAATAGCTCCGAGCCTTCGTTTGAATATATCGAAATGTTATACTTGAAAAATTCAACACTTTAGTACCGCTTATTCTTTTTTTCGATTGCTTTCGTTCACTTCTCTGCACTTCGTGCACTTCTCTGATTTTTAGTTAAATCGCGCGGTAGCGCGTACAATTCGCATTAAAGATGCTCGAATGCGATCGCAGGGGTAAAAATATAATTTCCTCCACTGATCGGTGATATCATAGAAGGTGGTAGCTACCGCGTTTCTTTGCTTATTCAGGAGGGATGAACGTAAATACTTCTCGAAAGCCTATAATCTGATATCGGACACCTTGCCAATAGGCACAAGGTGTAAATCGGTATGCACCGTACATCGGAACGTCACAGATCACGGTAACGACATCGACGTCGAGCTCGAACGAGTTGCCGCGACGACGAAAAGCGCGAGACTAAGGGACGACGGCATCCGCCCGGTTATATACCCGACGCACTCTGACCCGCAAGCCGCGCCCGCGCACGAGCCACCCCCGGGGGTTTCTCTCCTGCCTGCATCCTCGCGTGCCTTTTCTTTCTTCTTCTTTCCCATTTGCTAGCACCTGCTCAACCTTGGATTCCACTGACGTCATGTTGTTTACTCATAGTTTACCTGCCAAAATAGGTCTCCCCTAAAAGACACATGTTAAGATCAAATAAGTTTCAATTATTAAAGCTGAGCACAAGCATGACAATGCAATGATTTTTTATCGCTAGGTAACTCTTATAAACAGCATTAAAATATATGAATATTTTATTTAATAATTATCATTTATCGTAATAAATTGTAACGATAATTGCTAATTTTATTAGAGAAATATATTATTTTATTCGACGATTCTAATTGTTCCATTTTACATTTGTACTTTCAGTACTTATAGCTCATTTTAATTAAATTGAAATCGTTAACGAGATTTCTACGTTACTCGTAATGTAGTTAAGAGCGTTTGTATCGAATCTTACGAACCGGATAACAAAGACAGCACTGAGCAATTATTTATTGCCTGTATTTCCCTCTCAGGGATATCTCGCATCTAACAATACAACGGATCACGGCTCGCGAATCAGTGAACGTAATGACGATATGAGCTCGTTACTGACGATGATGATACAGTAACGAGCTTGGAGAAGTGATGCTGCATTGTATGATTGAATTTGGCTATTGCCATCACAACTACGAATATGTATCAAATTGAAATTAAATCGTATCAAGACATTATCATATAATTTTAATTATTGTTTGAAATCATTATCACAGATAAAACAAAATGTAAACATAAATTATCAAACGCTCTGTATATAATTTATGCATAAGCTTAAAAATTATCATTACTGTTGTTATTATTATTATTATTATTGTTGTTGTTGATGTTGTTATTATTATTATTATCAATATTAGCGTATAACGAGAATACCTATATATAAACTTGTAAGTGAACAAATATAGTTTTCATTTATAGAGAAGTTTATATTAAAAAAGTATGAAATTAGTTTTCAAATTTTTGAAATAATAACACGCAGGAACAGATGAAAATTTTATAAGATTAATATGAAGACAGATTAAACTCTACTTTATTAGTTTCCATTTCTATTCTGCCTTTAGTAAAATTCTTACGGAGTTCAATTATCTTGAGACTATCAAATATAACAGATATATCAACATAAAATGGCAAAGATAGATCTGAATTTTTCATGTCACTAATAAGCAAGTTTCACAGAAAGTTATAATTGAGCGAGATACCGGCATTCTTCTACTAAGGAACTTAATATTAGCGACATAGCTGTCGCTCAAGTAATTCGCATAATGTACCCGGGGTTCGCAATTAATGATCATTTAGTTCGATGGCGCCGAGTAGCCGTCAGTGCCACCGATTCGCAGGCGAGCGCGGAACTTTGGCCCGCCAGCGTGCTAAACTTCCGTATGAATCTACTTTCAAACTACACAAGAATTTTTAATTACGGCCCTATAGAACGAAATGCCACTTACATGTCACGTTAATAGTTCTTCGTATCCGAAGCGTTGGAGGAATGTGGAGGACCAGTCCCACGCGACTATTAACGAATTTTTATTGCCGCAAAAGAGGACAATAACGATTCACGATAATTACTTTATTCGCACTTACAGTCTTTATTCTCGGCTTTGAATGTTTGTGATAATCTTGTTTCCCAAATGCTACGTTGTTAAATTCATAATCTCAAATTATACCTAATTTGAGTTATTTTTAGTCATTTTTATAGGTCGCCACTACTCCTATTCAGTATGTGGTTAATTTAATTAAAATAATGGAGTTAAACAATTAGAAAATATAAATTTATCTCGAATTTAGTGTCTTATTTACTAAATGCAAACGTGAATTAATATGGACATTGTTTACTTTAAAATTAACCACAGAAATAAATGGATATATATTTTAATATATATGGAAGTTAAAAATAACAAAATATTACTTTTATTTCAAGAGATTGGATTACTATTATTTAACTCAAAAACTGGGTTACCACTAGGTAACTCCGGACTGATTCACTAAAAATACATGTTTACAAAAAGAACGCTTCAAAATAGTCCTGTTTGTTAAAAAAAGAAGTAATTTTTTAAAGAGATCGGTTTAAATAATCTCTTTTAGTTAAAAAAATCACAAAACAGATCCGTTTAAAATCGTTATTATATATCGTTTGGGAAAATCGATTTTTTCATCGGAACATACCTATTTATCACTACTTTCTTATGATATCTAACAACATATTTTCGGGTTTTAAGCTACTCATTTTTCCCTAGATTTGACTCAGAATGTAACATCTCATTAGTTGATCTTTACAGATTACTTAATACTTATCATGCAAGTTCGAAGAATGTGTAAAGAATCGACCTGACAGCTTCAGCAGCGTGATTTCGCTGCGGCGAGCCTAAGCTATTTCTTTGTGGACTTCCCGTTGAAGTATAAATTGGTTTTATGCTCTGTCAAGGAAGTTTCTAACTAGAAACTTATAGTCGCGGAACAAACATCTGTAGACGGCATTGAAATATAGTGTTCAGACGCTCGTTGCGCCTGAATATTCAGTGACTTCACCCACTCGCTTCGCTGTCTATGTCTCACGCGCGCTGCCTACTTCGTTACACCCGGTTAACGCTTGCCATCGTCTGACCGTATTTAATAATGCACCTAACCGACGACGGCGCCGCCGACGCCCCAAGAGAGCAAGGTCTGCCAACGACCGTGAAAAGGTGTCGGTGTCCTGTAAGTAAGGGCAGCCGCAATACGTGCGCGA